ACATTATTTAATGATATATCATGATTGTAAACTTACAATTTTACCTGACATTGTAATTATAGTATTGTTAGATTTCTATCTCCATTCAACTTTAGTTGTCTTACTTTTTAATTTAAAATGTTCAAATTTAGTTGTTCACTTTTCTATTTGAGAATGTGATTTAATACATTAATATTAATTTTATTGTTCTAAACTTAAAAAGAGAAAGTATGTAAAGAGGTTGTTGTTTTATAGTTAATCTTGCATGAACTACATATTTTGCAATGATTGATAGAATGAAAACCACTTTTCATCGATGATTATAAAGTATGCAATCTATGCAAATGTTCGAAATGCATATCACTCTTCTTCTTCTTCTTTTTTGTATAAAAGGTAGCACAATTGGTAGGACAAAAAAATAGAAAGAAGATATAGAAAATTGCCATATGTTGTGATTATACAAATATGAAAATGTAGATGTGCACGTTACGTGATATATTGTTTTAAGTATGTTTTATGTTAATATACATAGTTTATCGTATGTGTTGCATTACCAAAAAACATTTATGTAAGCGTCTGCGTAATCATGCATGATTCAAATTAAATAGTTACCTACTTTAGTTATTATCTAATATGTGAATTAATGTATTGTGTCTATAATAAATATAAAGTTTTCATTACTTATGGCATGCACGATGTCAAGGTGTTTTATGAAAAAATAAAATAAATTAATGTGTTTGCCACAAAATTTATTAATCTTTGATTGTATTTGATCATGAATTACCAATAAAGTTTGTATTACAACTGTCAACATCTTTTTTTATCAAATAATCTGGATTTCAATTATGTAAAGATCATTAAATACTTGCCACAAAATGATAAGTTAAAAAAATTAATCGCGCGTTTTATTTGTATAAATTGTAAAAACTTTAAATATCTTGATATTTTAAATGTTATTATGTCTTAATTTTTACTATCTTATTTATATCTTACACCATTCACATTGCCAAAAAAAAATTATGGCACACTGTCTAGCAAAAAATAAAAGTCAGTATGTTCTGAAATTAGGGCAAATCTATGATTTTTATTATGTAGTGGGGAAAACTCATAAGAAAAATTTTCAATATATGGGCAAAAGTTAAAATTTTATTGAAATTAAAAAATATTTTAAAACATTTTTTTATTAAAGGGTTTTGCCTGGCCTATCAACTTAACAATTTTTAAAATTAAGATTCACTAGTTTTTGAAAATTTAAAGTCAAATTATTAATAATAATTAATTTTTATATTTATATATCATTCACATTTATATTTTTATTTTGATATAAGATCTAAACCGTTATAATCTAATGTTTAACATTTGGAGATCGACACACTATTAATTCCTTTTGTTTAACATAAAAGGAAACATGAACAATCAAGGAAATTTGAGAGGAATTTCTTTCCATATACTTAAGGCAGATTATTTTTTGCCGGATTGGAATTTGGAAGAACGAAAATCAAATCCTGAAAATGAAAAACTATGATGAAGATAGGAGTTTTTTTTTTTTTGCCATTTTCGAAAAGCTACCATGTGTGTACTGTATATACATAGCTGCCATGTTTATTAGTGGATGCTACTAAATTGCGCTCTAAACTTGGGAATATTATATGTAAGCAAAATCCTCAAATTTACCTCTAAAGTATAGTAATAGAAATAGATTCATCTCGAATAAAAAATGAAAACAAATTCACTTACAAAATTTTTAACTTGAACAAATTATTTTAAATTTAACATAATATGTCATCTTACATTAGTAATCCATTAACAAATTAACAATATAGCAAATTAACAAATTAATAAATTGTTGATATCAAATGACGTTACATGTTAAATTTAAAATGATTTATTCAAATTAACAATTTTATGGATAAATTTATCTCTATTTTTTATTTAGGGATGGATTCATCCCTATTACTATATTTTAAGGGTTGATTTGAGCATTTTGCCTTCTATGGTAATTGTTGTTTTATCCAATCTTTTTTCTTTGTTTTGTTTGTTTTTGGAAAAGACTTTTTGTTTATGGTTTCAAAAAGAATACTACTGTTCCCATAAATAAGTAATACGGCGACAAAAAAAGATTACACTATTTATGAGTGATAAGTGATACTAAGTTAACAGTAAGTTAAAAATAAGAAAATGTTATAATTTATTATGTAATTTTTTTTATTTTAGTTACGTAATAAAAAGTAATTATTTTTTGTTTTT